GTATAAATTCGAGGAATTAAAAAGCTTTGAACGTAGAAGGGAAAATACACGCGTTTCTTTCTCAGATAATTCAGCACTACCGACTGTTATTAAATTTAATCAGGTTTGTTTGTTTAGCCTGCAGTGGCTCGTAACAAATATTTTCTGCTGTAGGAAAATAAAACTTCTGCCATATAATTGAAGGATCATTATTAACGATACGATACGGAAAAGGACACGAGTACTCCGAGAAAATTATGTGCCATGGAATAATATACATTTAGACACCCAGTAACCTTGTAAAACTAGTACCTGCACCGAATTAAAAGAAACAAGTTGAAAAGAAAAAACTTAGTCTGTTAAAGAAAAATGGAAAATGACATCACAAAAATCTCCATTAAAAATTCTGAAAAAGGTGTGACACTCCCCTTGAATAGCTGAAAAAGAGGGTATGGCCCTCCCCCTTTGGTGCTCACTTTCACTGATGACCCTCCCCTCTGAGGCCCCAGCCCTCCCCCTCCCAAGAAAAAACGTTCCTTCCCTAAGTAGGTTTTCTTTCGCCACCGCAGCTGAAAAACAGCTCAAACAACGAAAACACTGTAAAAAGCACTGTTTTTTGGTTGTCGGTTTGGAAAAAGTGGTGTTTAGAGAAGGGAATTGCCAAGGAAATCGAAAATTACGGGCCGACCCAGCTTAACGCTTTGCTCGAGCGATCCAACGCCGAAATTAAAAATAAACATGGGTAAACCTCGGAAACGACGATTCCAGTTCATCGAAAGTGATTCGGACACAAGATGTGAAGATATCATTGCATATTATTTTTTTGATCGTACGCGGTTGTTTTGACCGAACGCACGGTTTGAATAAATTATTTTTGCACTTGATGCCGCGCTTTGCTTATGCTTAATTATGATAAGCTATCTCGTATTTTTCCATGTTTATTATTAACACGTAATCACATGATTTTCTCGTGCAATTTGGAATAAACAAGCACTTGTTAATTTTTTCAAAGACCACAAATTGCACTCGCCCTACGGGCTCGCGACTTTTTTATTTTCGTGTTAGTCTTTAAAAAAATTTACTCGTGCTTATTTATTCCAAATTGCACTCGAAATCATGTGATTACCTATACAAATTTCTGGTAGGCCTGTGGGTCGAGGGGATGCTAGTTGGTTATTTTAGTGCGATGTAACAAAACTTTCTCAATTTGAGAACATTTTGACTTACAGATGTCATCACCTAAAGGTTCACCACTTCCGTCACGCAATCCAAAGGAAGCGGAAATGCGCGTTCGCTCAGAAACAGACGTACTCAGAGGCGAAAACTTCGTCACAGATTTATTTCAACACACGTATGTCGCTATAACAAGAATAAATAACACATTTACTAAGTCTCTGTTATCTTGACGCAGTGAATAGAGATTGTCAAACACAGTAGATCACACTGCTCATAATCAAGTAAAAGCGGAAATTCTCTTTCAACACGAAAGTTCCTTAGTGTTCTCTCTTCGCTGTTCTTCATTCTACAGTTTAAACAATTCTTTCATGAAATCTCGTTCGCTGGCAAATACTATATCCGACGTCTTCCTCTGATTCAATTTCCAAACAGGTAATTTAACTGGGTTACGTTGCCGAGTGAAGACTCAGCGTGCTGTTGTTAAGATTGTCCCCGATCGCTCGCAAACATCTTCCTATATCTCGTGAACTTCGCAACTCAGCGCAACATTCGCCAACATGGCGCTGAGTGGTCGAGGTGTTTCCACTCTGCGAGTTTCTCTCGTCCCCTGACTGACGACTTCGGCGGAAGCTAAAAGATCGCCGTCTAGTTGGGGGCTGGTTTGTACGGCTAGTGGATCGTTTGAAGAACTGGAACCCCATATAATCTGTACGATAAATACAAGAACAATTTTAATCATCACTCGGTGTTGCAAGCCCAACAAATCCAAACTAATATGATCTCTAACGCCCACAGAGAGAGGAAGGTTCACTGCAGTTGGTACAAATTGAGACGATTTCGTGATGACGAAATGTCACAGTTCGAAAACTGAAAGATTTCAGTACACGCTTATTTACAGGGACCATAGCACTTCTCGCGAAGTGATTCGACTTACCTGAAGGAAACCTCTTCTCACTACACGCAGCCTCGTTCACTTACAATTAAAAAATCTGTTACTCTTGTCCAATGTAGTATACTTCTGAAACGGAACTTAATACGTGCGTTTATAAGGATTTCCGTGATAATTACATCATTATTTGACGCACTTGGCAACCTTTGTAATAAGGTAATCTGGGGTTAAGGAAAAACCCATCAAACCAGAGCACGAAAATGATTGGCCTACGGAGTCAGGCCGTCTTCTGATTGGCTGTTAGTAGTCAAACCCCTTTTTAAAATCAAGGACAGGAAGTTTAGCCTTTCTCGGAAAGTGATACATTTTTATAGTATGACGACGATAGTAAGTCATGCAGAAAAAAACAAGTACTTAAATTTTATGAAAATTTAAATGAGGACAGTCTTTGAACCAAACAAAGGAGGTGTTTCCGAATTACCTTGTGTTAAAGGCGAAACATAACAAAGTAAACAAAAATAAGGATTGAAATCACAGAGACGAACTTGCTACTTGTAAAGTGCATGGCTTGAGGCATTGAAATGTGTGACGTGACGCTGGCGTGGTGCAATTCGTTTATTTACTTATTACAAGAACGACACATTAAAATTATCACTACAATGAAGAATGAGAGGGTCAGATCAATTTATTTTTTATTAAGAATATAGAAACCGAAAGAATCGGGACCAAACAGGTAAGCGGACTTGGTCAGCAAATTCAATTCAGCGCGTTATAATTAGAATTCGACAATATGGATAAAAATAACTTTGTTAGAATTTTGAAACAACAGTCTTCTATTTTCATTTACTTGTCAATCAGGGAAAATAGTTGTACGTGACTCTTTCCTTTTTTGTCTCTAGTAATCAGCCGCTATAGTTTTCAAGAATTCTGAGGAAAAAGTGCTGACTTTTCAATCTTTATGAGCTTTTGTAATTTGGTAAGAAACATTCGCATCGCATCCAATAAAACCCTCAAACCCAATCATCAATATCCACATTCTCCATACAGTTCTCTATACTTTTCCTAGGTTGCCGACTGGGAGAATTTGTTCATTGAATAATCAAGAGCACCTTTGGTTGGTGATCATTTCCTTTATTCTCATGACCTTACTGTTTGATTCAGGGGTGATACTGTAAAGAGAAATTATATGCTAGTCACACGTAGGGATTATAGTGTTAAGCACATAAAAAGACTACTCGACAATAAGACCTTCCAACAAGTTTTTCGATCACAGAATAATCTATCCCTCTCCAAAAACAGAATTGAAATGCAAAGAAAACCGCTTCCGCGTTTGATAAGCACACTCAACTAAACTTGTCCTTTGCTTTCACGACCATACTACAGGCAGTCGTTTCGTGTACTGTCCTCAGAAAAAAATGGTAAAAATTATTTCTGTTGAAAAGGACGTTTTTAGTGGCAAGTATATTTTACACGAGAGACTCCTTAAGTACGAGTTTGCGCTCGAAACAATCTCGCCGACTCCGTTTTTTTTCGCGCAAATGATCGACTACCTTCAGAACTGCGCGAATGATGCGTGCGACATCTCAAACCACTTTGAACTCTTGCCATCTGGCTCGATCAATGGAAGTATATCTGCATTCGTTACAAACAGGGGATAGTGATTGATTTTTCTGTTAGATTTATTTGATAACTTACCGTAGAGCGAAATTATGTTTGCTTTTCGAGTTTCCCCGTTCTGATCGTGGATTTAATCCATCATAAAGCTGACTGCGGTCGGTGTTAATTCGATCACCAAAAATGATCACTATAATAACTAGCCTTGGTAAAAAAGAATATATTAACATTTTCAGTTCGAAATTGTTGCTTAAAACTCTCGTCGCGTGTCATTTCCTGGGACAGATTATTTTATCTTTGCATGCATGGCAGTCGCTGCCATTCAACCAAGCTCTCACTGATAAGTCACCTTATCATGTAGAGCTAAGGATTGCAAATTCAATGTACAGAAACAAATGATATAATTTCTGTTAAGACTGACAGTAAGCCGGCTGAATTTTACAGCATGCTCGCGATATACCCCGATTCAAGTATATACTTATTTTCGTGCAAGAGGCGTAGCATAAATATTAATAAATGGGAGCCTTGAATGCATGTTGCAATCAAAAATTGAGTCGTGCCAAAAAAACTTTGTCCAAAGTGAAGTATCTAGAAAAGCTGAAAGTTACAGGCACGTTTAAAACATATCTTTCGTCGCAGTCACCAAACGAACGTTTTTTTGCACTCGGAAATCAAATAAAGTTGGCAATTATGATTAGCATATTGCATGTAACGTTTATTTTTATCACATCAATTCGGAAGTAAGCGTTCAGCTACAAAAATTGCTTCACTAAAACGTTCGTTTTTATCACATCAATTTGGAAGTAAGCGCTCAGCTACAAAAATTGCTTCACTAAAACGTTCGTTTTTATCACATCAATTCGGAAGTAAGCGCTCAGCTACACAAACTGATAATACAATTGTCCTTAAAACAACTGAAATTAAGTGAAGTTGAAGAGTTGGCCACTAAATTTATCAGTTGTTCAGAACTTGCTGGTTTATAACACTGATTTATAAAAAGAAAAGCTTACAGCGTTGTCGAATCAATTTTTAACGCTGATGTTCAACGCAATATTTTCGTGTTTTGGTTACCTCAGAAAGAGTGCTTTTAAAATGTTTGTTTAATAAACAAAAATCTAAAATCTGCTTGTTTGACGTCCACGTCACCCTTAACGCAAACAAAAATTCACGGTTTGCGTGATAACGCACGAATTACGTCCGATACAGTACGTGAGAGAGTTTAGCCGTAGGTAGATGAAAGAGGATACCGCGGGTTCTCATTTAAATTTATGAATAAATAACAAAGAGGCAAAAAGGAACCTAAAACTAGCACTGCACGCAGAATGAATCTGTCCAGGGTTATGCCAAAAAGAAAAAAGCTGCCGAGAAAAGCTAACTTCACGTATCAATCATCGCACGAAAAGCATGAAAAAGTTATCAATTTTAGTGAAAGAATTTGCACAATTTACACTTCTTACCCAATAGAAAAGCGCGTCGTCCTACGCAATTTCAGTCAAAAATTAAATTGGAACCGAGTGAATTAATTTTCCTCATCAGCGCATTTTAATATGAATTAACTGCCCACAAAAAAATTGATTCACACTTCTCGACCAATCGTGTGAATGGATTACGTGGAATCAACCAGTCATAATTCAAGGAAACCAGTTCAGTGTACGTAACAGGTGGCAATTGAAGGGTTTACCTCGCGAGCCATAATTATCAAAACAAATTGCAACCAGCGTCAAATTGAGAGGAAACGAAACTTCAACGAACAGGACGTTTAAATTCCTCCGACTGCGATCAAGGGTACAGTGGTGTAATAAACAGACTAAGCATGAAAGATATAGATTGTTTGCAGAAAACCAGACTCGCGCAGCTTCAAGATTCAAACAGCGACGAAATGCAAAGAGTTTGTCAAGAAGCTAAGGCCCTAGCCAAAGACCTCGTTGAGTATCGCACTGGAAAGGGAAACCCTCCTCCGAGTCGCACTGCTGCAATTTTGAGAAGGCTGTCAGATGAACTTGAGGATCGTCATCCTGCAGTGCTCGCCAACATGTGTGGAAGGCTTAACATACTTACTGGTTCTGCACATACAAAATTTGTGCAAGTTGCTGACGAAGTTTTCCGCGATGGAGTGAACTGGGGCAGAATTGTGGCGATTTTTGCGTTTGGAGCGAAACTAGCCCAATACTGTTTTAGAAACAGACTCGAGAAGGAAGCAGATGATATAGCTGACTGGGTTGGAAATTATATTTCAAGTCTATCGGGCTGGATTCGATCAAATGGTGGCTGGGTAAGTTACTGTTAACAGACTACACCTCACAGACGCGATAACCTGCTATCTTTAGCAGAATATTAAACATTTAGAAAACTGTGCTGACCAATTTATGAATTTTTCATAGTACAATCTAACAGCCCTAGTAACATCCTTGCAAATTTATTTTCCTCACTTTTAGAATTGTAGCTCTGTTAACGTTAACAAAGTTGCATCGGCTATGGAACTTGTGCGTCGAAAGAATATTTAAGTCATCAATCAAACGACTTTCCAAATCCTTTCAAACTCTGAAATGAGGACGAAAAATTCACTTTTACCTGCTTCTATCAGAATTTCATCCCTTGGCAGAAATTTCTGATTAACTTCTGTTCTAGCATCTTCTACCGTTTTGCCATTCTAAGTCGAAGTATCGTACTATAGAATTTTTACTGAAGCATCCCCGTCTAGTCCTCTAAAACTTCCTGTTTCCATATTACGCTTACAATCATACCTGCAATATTGATTCTGAAACGATCATACTCCACAATGCAAAATGCAAATTCATCCCAAAGTGGTTAGCAGAAAGAAAAGAAATCGATCACCTTTTAGGCCGAGACTGCTTAGAATTTGCGAATTTGGAAATACAATTTTTGTGCTGCAGAAATAAAACACGAGAACGCGTTGTATCTGTTCATGCCAAAGAAAAACGGGATTTAAACCTGAAAAGCTGGCCACACAACCAAAGAACTTCTGGAGATGAATTTATAAAAATAGATTTTCGAATGAACCCCATACAGAGCTGACAAGTGATATCAAAGCTTATTAAGATAATTCGTATTCAAAAGGAGTATGCAGTTATGAATAAATTTTAAGCCACTGCAGATAGCCTCAGGTGACAGTGAAACTCCACCAGCTACAATATTGTCTGGCCTTTTTTTTTTAGGCGCTCACCATCGTCCGAAGTCGTCGCGCATATTGCGCAATATTCATTACTAAAGGCTATTTCTTGACATGAAATTTTCATTACGTTCGAGAATTATTCAAAGTGTCCGAGTTCATAAAAATTAAGCAAGCCAACTTCCAAAATTATTTATTTGGGAAGAATTCAAATCGATAGGCATTTTTGCGTGCGATAAGATCTGAACTATCGGCTAAAATATGCCAGTTTTACCAATGGTGATTCAACAGTGTTTATGTGCAATGTCATAGTGGACGTCCTCTGACCTGCAGAGGCCCAAACAATGGCAAATATGAAACATTTGCATTTGCTGACAGCTACCTATTTAATTCATGGTAGCCAAGAGTACTTTGAACACCGAAAAAATGTCCAATTAGTCGCTTTACCGAGGCTTTTTTGAGAGAAGCACATATGGAACTATGTAAGTTACAACTCACAACTCACAACTCTCCAATTTTTGAATGACTTAGCTTATATGCAAAAATTTCGTCTCAGTGTGTAATAGCGGATCCCGAAGACCGTTGCTAAGTTACCAGCAGGTCGGAGTCAATTTTGGACGAAATTCGCGCGATTAATTATTTTATGGCAGCAAAATTAATACCGAGTGCGGGTTAAAAACCAAAATGTAAATTTTTAAACACGGTTTAGTGCTTAAATTTTGCAATGTGCGTCTGCATATGCATAAAAATCAATCATTGATTGATAGAACACTTACAACCTTAAGATAACCACACCTTCCGTTTGTTAGTAAACGAAAATGGCCTGGCTATCAAGTGTACAGAGGGTAGGCAAGACACACGCAACAAAACTAATGTATGCAATTAAAAAGAAATTGGACAAGCAGGATTTCGTAATTTTCTCTTTTTGAGACCACCCGCACACGGGTGAGGATTTTTTTTCGTTTCCTTTCTATTGTCATTTTAATCATTTATTCACTATATAAAACTGCACATCTTCGGCCTCATCTATCATTTTCCCCATCCATTTTGTTAAGATTTAGCCTAAACTTGGTTTACTCGATCGGGTGCGTGAATATCTTCCATGAATCTTCTTCAGTTTCGTTCTAAAGACCAATGAAAATTTCCTATTTAGAGATTATCGACCTATTGTTCAAGGCGAAACGTGCATTTAAGAATCATGACTGGATCCTATTAAGAAATCTGATATTGGCACTATTCGTTTAGTAAATAAAAACTATTTTCAAAGACATTACAGACTAAAACTTAGCCAGTTAAAACGTTAAAATTGTCTCACGGGTGAGCCAATCTGTGTAAATATTGACTGGCATTTTCGTGCCTACTTCACAGTCATGAGTCATTCCGTGAGCTGTTACGTGCATTGAATATGCGATAACCATTGACGAAGAATTTATTAACGCGGTGTAGTTTAACACGCAGTATCACGAAAATGATATCTACCCTCCTGTCCACAAAACAACACATTGGATGTGATATAAGGCACGCCTCAGCGATTGAATAAGTGAAATAAGTGTTTTATACAGATAAAACATTTCTTGTAGTGTAAAATGACCTTGAACTAAGAATAAATTACTTAACAAAATATTCAAAATGTATTGCAACACAAAAATTTGCTGATTATGCAAAAAAAAAAGAAGAAAAAAGAAAAGTGAACGAAATCTTTGATAGAAGGATCAAAAGGGTGTGGATATGTTCGACACCCCCCAGCACGTCCCAAAAATACATAAAAACAAAAAACTAACGAGGATTGATAATTACAACTAATGCTAATGAATATATTAGTTTTCGTTGTAGGATGTACCAACCCAATTTGACAAATGTTTGAATTGAACTCACAATTTACCTTCTGAATCTAACTTCAGTTTTGGCGCATTTTCAAAAGATATTCGACAGATTTTACTTTGCCGTAAAATGGTTGTCAAGCAGCGAAATTAGTCGACTAGTTTCTACAAGAAGTTTTAATATGCTTTTGGACCCAGAGATAAAGATATGATAGTATTGCACCGGACTGGACTCCGAAACGGGGGACTCAGGATTAAACCCTAGACGGGATTATCAAACTGTGTTTAAGCGAGAGGGAATTCATGTTTATAACGCCCTTCACCCGCCTTCCACCCTCCCCTCCCCGCCCCCTGAGAACTAGAATGAATACAAGAAATACAATAAATACAAGAAAACAACAAGGGGTGGGAAGGTATTTATCCTATGATTAGTTTGCCGGAGAAAATCATCTTAGTTCTTTGGACGCCACCCAACAAAACCGCGAGCACGATAACTTTCTTTCATCCTAGATTTCCAAAACTATTGGACACTGAGTATCTTATGACTAAGATCTAAATTTCTTTAAAAACTGACCAGAACCATGTAATTTGCGAGTTAAGAATTGATAACGCATAGAAATCGATTGATTCTACGCTAATAAATTATTAAGTGGCCTCAGAAAAACGTCCTATGATGCCTTGTTAACTGTCACGTATATACTTTATATTTTTATAAGTAGACTCCGGTAGAAAAAAATGAAAAATAGTGAACTCTCCTGATTAAAGGATAGTGTTTTCGTTAAATTCAGTAAAATTTAAAGAAAAAAAGGTTGATGACACAGTTCCTGTGGTTGAAATGATAAAACGTGAAACAAAGCCATGACATGGATTTCGCAATCCCTTTGTAACTTGGCCAAAATTTGGTTAACCCATAAAACCAAAAGACAGAATCATCTTTTGTGACGTAAACTAAGGCCAAGGTTGAATTATTTTTGGACACAATAATATATTCCTTTCTGATGAGAAGTACTCGTGATTACGGCGAAGCTAAGCCTTGACCCAAGAAGTCTCTTGTTTTCAAATTGGGCCCGCCACCATTTTGAAACTGGCTATTACCCGAAACAACTAAAGGAAAAACACAATAATGATGATAATAAAACTTCAATCCAAATCCTAAACACATATTCTTGCTAAAGAAAAATAGTATTTTTGACATTATAGCTTTATAAGAATCATCATCATCTTAATAAAGGGAAAAGATAAATGAAAACGAGTGACCTATTCACAATTAATAATAACAAAAGTAATTTTAAAAAATAGCTAGAAGCAATTAGAAATAGACGCCAAACCTTACAAACTCAAAACTGATTCAAGTTAAATGTAACCAAAAATAAATTGTCCACGCGCAGAGTACTCTCTGACCCACACTCTCAGAGTTTTGGTTGTGAAAAATTTGCCAAGTGCTTTGAGACTACTGAAAGCAACTCGAAGCCTTAACGAATCTGTTAATTTTTCAATATTTTTCTAAACAGGAGGCGTTTAACCAGATCTTTAGCGAGGCATACGACGAAAGAGACAGGTCGTGGTGGAAAAAACTGTGTCTGGCTGCGGTGGGGTTCGGCGCACTGGCGACATTAGTCTATCAACAGTCAAGTTGACTTGAATTCCACATCAAACATCGGTAGCTATCGAAAGACAGTACATAGGAAGAGTTGAGAGATTTGTCTTCTGAATTCCGTTCTCTCGTTTTCATAAAACAACGAACGGTTATACAAAAAATATCATTTTCGCTTGAATACGCGCTCTTAAAACTGCATTCCTCAGTTGAAAGAGCCGCTTACTGCAAACCTTTGGGGAAGTAGGAAGTATTTTCCAGCAAGGAAGTCCTAAAAAAGCGCCTAGTCAACATTAAAGGGGGGATACCAAGCTTATTTGTTTTTTATCATAAATTATTGCTTTTTTCTAGACAGAGTGATTTCGCACACTCATGAGCCCCCAATACCAACAGAGCTAGCCAGCGCTCTCACGCAGCCGGTGTAAAAGACGAAGTTTTTAAGAAAAATACATTTCGTTCACACTGTGCTAAGGAGATAATACGAAACTGCCTCTAGTGGAATTGAGTTTTATGCGAGTATCTGATGCTGGCATTTAGGACAACTATTTTTACCAAAACATCTTTGTTACGATTCATTTTACATAGAACAACGTGTATTAATTCATTTCTACGCTGACTCACATGCTTCGTAAAAGAAAATGACAGTTTTTCTAGAATATAAGAAACCATGATATCCAATTGCAACTTAGTTCACGTAAAGTTTGGACCAAACGGTCTGATTTAAAAGTGTATAAAGACATTTCCTTCCAGTTTCCGTTGATAGTGATATATTTATCATAAAAGATTCTTAAAATCGAGATTTTAGTAGGCAAGGTCCGGTACCGCCATAGTTTTTATTTATATACTAAATTCCTCCATAATTTTGTAGCCATGACTAAATACAGAAATGTTAGATATATAGCCAGTCATATTTTATGTAGGATAAAATTCACTAATATTTAAGGGCTGACATATACGTACCTATTATTTAATGAAGGAATTCCATTCCATGCTGATTTATGGGTTTTTTTTTTGCGAGTCTGATGTATCTTTGTGCGCATAGAGCGCTTTTCGATTGAGTGTCGTTATAAAAATGCCGAAGTAATCTCAACAGCCAATCAAAAGAAAGAAAGGAAAATGCCCCTTAACGGGACCACTGAGAAATCAAAGTAATAACCAAACTGGCCAAAGCGCGGGAAACGCTGGCGACCAAGACGTGATTGGTTTAAATTTTGTAACTGATTGGTTAAAAGAACGGCGCGAGTTTTCTGGACCAATCATAAAGCAAGTAAACGCTCACTTTTGACACTCAATTGATGAATGCCCTATAAAGCCGATAAAGTTGCTTAAAGGTGATTCCTTAGAAATAAAAGTTGTCGTTATACATTGTTCTAGACTTTCCCTGAGTGTTTCCAACCAATCACTACTTTGAAAAATGCCGCAACAACAACAAAATAGGTCACCACGCTCGCAAAGCAGATACGATGAGCCAATCCGCGAGAAATTTCTTTTATCTTGACTAATCTAATCCCATTTACATCTCAAAACTTATCTGACTTATCACGACTGGCCAAACCGCTGTTATCAGAAGCAACTGAAGTTTTACCCATTCTTGATGAGTGAAAACGTTTTTAATGATGTAGGCTTTCGAGCAAAGTAAAAGAATGTGTTGAGTGACTTTGGAACAGTCTTTAATGTTTCATTGCCAATGCTTTTTTCCTACATCAAGAAGAAGAGAAAAGATTCTCATAGAACAAATAGGGTGGAACAGTTTAAACTGTTACAGCAAGCTAAATGACTGATTAGTGCAGCTGATTTCAGCCAGCACTCATCTTACTGAAATGGCTCCTCGGAGTCAAGAAACTGCGATTAGACAAGATTTCGTCTCGAGTTATGGGAAATACAGTCGTAATACGTTCTTTGAACACTTTGAATAGGTGAGTCGCAGGTTCGATCTGTAGTATAGGTCATTGCATTCCCTTATCGAAGGTTCATTCGCATGGATGCCTTAGACTGACATACTCCACGTGATGTGGAGTCCCTGTAAACAGTCACTCAAAAGTTTAGATCGTGCACACGCTTCGTGCGCAAGGCTAAAGTTATATCCAAATCGCGTGATCGGCTGTTGACCCATTTGCAGCGTATCTTTGTTTATCACATCAGTGGTTTTGTAGATTACTTCCTTACTTTAAAGAAAACAAACCCGACGGAAAACCGCTACAAGCAAGAAACGTGACTGTCTTAAAAGCCAATTGAGCTGGAACAGCAATAAAAACTTGTTTGATCGTACGCATGTTCTGTCTACAAAGAACTTTATTTAACTTAAACGGTTCGTTTAACAGGGCAATAATTGCCTTAAACGTTCGACGCGGACACAGAGCACGTACGCGAACGAGCTTTTTGGTTGTCACTAGCCGCAATTAATTGAATTGAGAGGGTAGATTGAAATCACTTTTGGAATCAAGAATTTGTAAGTCAAAAAGCATTGTGAAAAACATTTTATATCATCCAGTCTAATCATGATCTTGCAACTATTTGGCGCGTACATTTTTTCGCGTTTTTGATATATTTCAAAGTAGAAGGTATCCTTTAAAAGCAGTAAAGCAACCTCCTCATTCAATAACTAACATTTCTGTGAAATAGCAGTTCTAAGCCTGATTCATTTTTTGTGCCAAACGGCAGAAGGAGCAGAACTTGCTCTCTAATCCCGCAGTAAAGAGTGAGGTTTTTCTTGGAGAGTTTAAAAGTTGGCAATGATAAAAGTCCACCTCTTTCATTCTTCTCTACAAGAATGTTCATCGATCTTTAGATCTGCTTTTATACATCAGCGGAAAACTGCACAATTTGTAGGTAACATTTTCATTAGCTAATGTTGTTAATTTTCCGTACTACCGAGATCTGTAACATAGCCTCACCTGTAAATCATGGAAGCTTTCACCACTGATATAAAATCCTGGCCCGCAAAACTCCCCCCCTCCCCGAAAAATACGCGTTGAAAACGAATTTAAGTTGAAATCAACATTGTAAAGGCCCTTGTCGGGGAGAGGAAGGACTACATAACGAGAAGGATGTGTTATTTAATTAAAAGTTCTGTTGTGGAGGCGCCACGTCGTTGATCTGGCTGTTTCTTCTCCTTACCGTTTTTCATACAGCTTTTCTTCTGTTGGTTTGGAGACTCTAACGAGACAATTTACCGAAGTGATAGCTTTCTCTACTTTCATAGTCTGCCGGCTTTCAGTTTAAAAGTATTGAGTTTGAAAAGAGAAAATATTTCTTGACCATTCGTAAGGGTGAAGAGTGTAAAATAAGAGAGGTGACGGTATCTTATATCTATTTTAGTTACATTCACGAAGGGTTTAGCAGATGAACACGCTTTTCTATCGCGCAAAATTATTACTGTGGGGAAACAAATGATCATGGCTTCCTGGAAGTTTTACATGGCAGCGCATGGCTCTACGTCAGTGGCTTTCATTTTCAAATTAGTCATTTTCGTTCTAGATGGAAAAGACCTTTCTCAAATACCATGGCGGCATTGCCGCGCACTTTTGCGGCCTCAACATACAATGCTTCCCGAGTATCGTGCATTATTTTTTCATCAGATCCCACAACAGCACCACACGCACAATACAACTTTATTCTATACAGCTATATTGTAGATCAAGATTGAATCGAAAAACATTAGCTTATTCACGTCGCAAATAAAACCGAATACATCCATTCAAAACTTATTCACTTTTGCTCTTCCAAGTCTGGTCTCGATTCTTTTCCTCTGCGTTTCTTTCGGGAAGCATTTTACAGTTCTAAACTATTCTTTTGCTACAAATTTCATCAATTTTATCATCTTTTAATCAGTGTAAAATTTTTCAGAATTTCGTGTCCGAGCTAATTAAACTGTTCAATCTTTGAGTTTGTAATGTTTAAAAGAAACTCATAGAGAGAGAAAGATAAACACACCGCAATTATGAAATTTGTAAAGGAAACATTAGCTCGCCTACCGCGCTAAATTGATGAAAGCGAGGAATAGTTTCAAAATGTAATCTCCGTAAGAGATTAGTTCCTTCAAATTAAACCACCATTGCCTCCCCTGATGGGTCAAATAGCACTTGATTTATACTTGCATCTTCTTGTCACGTCCGAGACCGAATATCAAAAACAAAACAAATAGCGTTTTGAAGAACGAAAAATCGTGTTGGCAAAATTTAAGTCAACTTGGGGGCCTAAATAAAAGCAAAAAAAAGACAACTGTCTATTGAAAAATCAGCATTGGTTATATGCTCTTCTCATAACAGGAACAAATGATATGAAACACGGACTAAAGCAAAAATAGAGCTCTTACTCTGAGTGCATTTTCTAACGGTCGAAATTTTAAGATTAACTAGACTCTTGAAAACTCTTAAAATAGTACGAGTGTCGTTGAGAGGGGAATTGTTGGAACAATGCACCTCTGACATAATTACAAAAAGTACGGCCGATATATAGGCAAACACAATAAAAGGCGATGAAGTCAGCTCCTAGATATTTTTATTTTCAGTTTCTTGAGTGCCAAATTCTGCGGTGAACGAATTTGGTGAATTTGAAACATTTAGGTAACTGAATTTTTGACAACAAGACTGAAAGGACAGAAGACGATATACGACCCTCTTAACAGAATAGATGGATTGTACAATAAAATGTTTCGGTTTTAGAATTTATTGTTACATTTTAGCTCCCTTCACACCTCCGGACGTTTTTCCCGAACTGGCAAAGTTCCTCTGATCAGAATGAATTTAGACCTCAGTAATCGAACCAGGTCATTCAGTATATCATTGCATTAAAATTGTTTTTTGAATTTAGAATCCCTACTATCGTGTTTGGTCGGAGCAGTAATCAAACAAAGTCCATAGGAGATTGAAAAATAGAAGAAGTTTACAAAAGACATTCCCTCAAGAATCGTTTTAAAATGTCATGGTTTCGTTGTTTATATTTGTGTTCTATTTCGAGACTTTTCAAGATGTTTAGACTTTCCATGTTGACCCTGAAAGTGCGTTGCCTCGAAGAATCAAAGATTTTTTTTTCCTCCGTAACTAATGTAGCAACGCTTATGTTATTAATCAAAACGTTTTCGATTTCAGTTTTCTACAATATGATAAATTGGTTGGCGTTTGAAGGTGAAATAAATGTGTTTATTCTATTCATATTTTTTAATATGTAAGTAAAAGGGTGTTTACATAAGTCGCGCAGTATTCTTTGCATTGTGAGCGCGTTTTATGAGTTCTATTCATTAATGGCGAATCTCTATCTTAAAGCACTATTGATTTTCTGTCAAAACAAAGGCATTTCGCTCTCACAAAACAATAAGCCTGATCGATGAAAAAAGCATTGTTTACTTTTTAATTCTTAACATCTAATATGCCTCGTTCGATGGCCTTAGTAATAGTTCTTTTCATTCGGTTTTTCATAGTCCACGGCACCTGCAGAATAAAGATGAGATTGTCGGCAAATTCAAGAGGTTTTTTTTTTATACAACAAGGCCATTGATTACTAAGGAGTAACCCGAATTAAAAGCCACGACTTTTAATATCACGTCCAAGAAGCACACCGCGGTATGTTGTGACAATGTTCGTTGGCTTTTTTTAATTTCCGAGCGCCTCCGTTTCTTCCATTTTACTCTCCATTCCACGACAAAGTCGTTAAATTGAATGCGCTGCGTGTAAGTGAATTCAAGATAAACACAAAACTACCTTGAAAAATCAGCAAATATGTTGACTTTTAAAATTGACATAAGATATTAAAGTGATTATGTACGTTTCTTTGCGGAGATTTTATCCAAAATATTTACGCTAGCACTACGCCATTTTTAATGACAGGTTTGGTCATCTTTGAAGAAAAGATAAAAAACGCCTAACTATTGACAAGAAACCGCTGTCGTTTTTTCTCGTGTGTTATGCTGCTTCGATCCTTTTGTTACGATAATTGTTACAAGACCTTAACAAAATAAAAGTATTACAATTACCTAAATATTTCACAATCAGAAGATTGCGAGTTGAGAACGTAAAGGGTCATTCCTAATCGTGATAAGGTTCAGATTATTGTGTTAGGAAAGCCATAGCTTTAGGAAACCACGGAGTATTGTCCTATTTTTAAACTTACAAAATTAGTTTAATTTCGGCCAGGTTCTTTGCGAAACCCGCCTTCCAAATTATTAAGTATGCCCGAAATGGCCTAGAGAAAACTTTAATAAACTTTATAGGGCCATGTCTTTGCGCTCGAAGAAAATGAGTTCGCAATTTATTGAACGCTAATATGAAAAAAGTAATAACACAAAAAGTTATAATTCACTTTATTACTGGTGCTCAATTTTTCTCAGAACAACAGTCCCGAGATAAAGGTCCGGCTACAAGAATCAGACAACAAGCGCGGATTGCCTGAAGGAAAAGATCTTAGCGGTAATCTGCGTCCGGAAAGCTGAGGGGCAAATTGAAACTGAGATAGACGTTCTATATAGACGAAAGCTCTGAACTGTTTGTAAACGATGAAGTGGTAGGCCTTTCCATCGGTGTTTGAGTAACAAGTTTAATACTTACAATGTTCTCTCTTTTTTAATTAGCCTTGTCAACAATGCAGCGCGACCGCAAAGCGGCGGGTATAAACAAAATGGAGTTAGCAGCCCGTGTTACGAGGTTTTATTACTTCACCAGGCCGCCGAATGTCAAACTTCCTGTCCGCGTTAGAAGAGCGGACGGTGCCTTTGTGGGGAGCAATGCCCGATGACACGTGAGAAAGTTCAAGACAAATTTGAATATTTTATTTAAACCATTATAAAAGCCGGCCTTTTGTTGTGGGCCAAACTTCAATAAGAAAATTAACGAGTAATTTGGATAAGTTTCGGTTTGATAGGCATGTGCTAATTAGGTATTCTGTATTTAATAGAAATCTTCGGCCTGCCGACCTGTTGTATAAACATTGAGTGACATCGAAACTCAGAGCACGGTGAGGCTTCGAATCGGCGACAAACAAAAGAAATTTTTGAAGTTTGTCGGTGTGTTTAGCAAACGCCATTTATTTCGATAGCTTAAGTACACATTGGAGCAGCGTAAAAATACCCCACATCTGTCTCGGGGTTTACTTCAAACGCGTCAAGTTGTTTAAAAGATTAAGAAGCTCTCGACGTGTGAGTGAATCAAAACATGCCAAGACCTCTGAGAAACAGCTACGGCAGTGCAAAGCCGCCGTACTCCTACATTTCGCTGACAGCCATGGCTATCCAGAGCTCACCGCAGAAAATGCTATCGCTCAGTGAGATTTATCAATTCATCATGGATCACTTTCCTTTTTACAGGGAAAATACGCAACGCTGGCAGAACTCGCTGCGACACAATCTCAGTTTCAACGACTGCTTTCTAAAGATTCCTAGAAGACCAGATCAGCCCGGCAAGGGAAGCCTCTGGGCTCTTCACCCAGATTGCGGAGCAATGTTTGAGAATGGTAGCTTCTTGCGCCGCAGAAAACGCTTCAAATCCGAGAGGGAGAGGACCAGTAAACTTGCAAAGCTGATCACAGATGAGTCTAAAGAACCGCATAACGGCAGAGTGCTTATGACGAGTGACAATCCTGCTCGCAGCATCTCGCCAGTCGATGTCACTCAATCAGGCTTCAAGCACCCTTTTAACATAGAGAACCTCATTGGATCAGACATCAAAAGCGTTCAGTCGTGCTCGACAATGACAGCCCCTATTCCCTCTCTACCAACTTGTCCATCCTGCATGAATACACCTCCCGCCTCCTCACTGGCAGCCGGCTATCAAGGAAATCTTTGGTCTGCTGCTTTGCCAGCCCCGTATTTCGCCAAACCTTGTTCTCATCACGAGCGTATGAAGGAATATGAGATAGCAAGGCTTGGACAACAGTTTTACCACACAGGAGAACTTGCTTCGTTTTACGGCGCAGTTCCAGTATCCCCTGCAGTTCTACCGCAGGCACTGTTTCGGTGACCGTGTTCCAAGCTGTTCAGAGCTGTTTACGCCATCAAACACTGCTACAAAGTGTAAGGAGACACTGACACTTGGAATACTTTAACTCTATTAAAAGCAGTAATAGCCCACGAGGACTTTTAGTCAAACAGCCGAAGGTTTCTAATGCTACTTAGACGGTCGCTCAGGTCTTCACACTCAAAGAAACATTCAGAGGAGACAAAGCCTTGAGTTAAGTAGCATAGCATGAAAGTGTCAGTTTTAAATCGGTTCCTGTTAAAAACTGAATGGGCGATAAAGTGTCTTGTTTATTTCGTCGCGAAATGACTCGAAAAGCACAGCCGTTGTTAAACGAAAAGGGATAGTTTCAGAGGCCTATTTTAACTATGAAATGACTTATTTTAAAACACTGAAAAGGAAGACAACTTATTGAGGTAAAGGAAACTACATATTACTCGCAGTAAATGTTTGAACAAATAGCCCGCTTTAATGTCGCCCACAACTCAGTATGTAAAAACTATTTTTATCGGGCTAAAAATGATTATATCCCTAGAGAGAAATAATAGGCAAATTGAAGGCCAAACCTTGAATGAAATATTGTATATAAAGATCAGTATATTTGAAATGAAAGCTGTTATTCGTTTTAGATGATTTCGGGTACATTTCCCAGTAGGTAATTTGTGTACGTTACAATTCGAAATTTAAAACGCAAACTAGGTTGAATATAGGTTACAGTTCTTGGTTTTCACAAGTTATTCAGTTGAAAAAGATTCAACCTTGGTTGAACTCGCTCACCCTAAAAAGGCTCGAATGGTATTTTTGTGATAAAATTATTTCGTAGATTTAAGTTGTTCTGAATTGTAAACATTTGCCCAGCGAGCTCTTGGATTGTATACGTTTTTCATTTCTTGTTGGTTTTAAAAGCAGAAATTTGTGAAGCCTTAAGTAAATATGGTTAAAAAGTATTTGAAAAATGTTCTTGTTTTTCTTTATTAATCTCAAGGAAACTTAAACTACATCAGTGAAGCACTTAGCATCACCTACCAAATGTTGATCGAAATAAAAAAAAAAGCCGATTAGATATTCATATTGGTTTGTTTTCGGTAGCCCTTTAAAAACAGGAGGAGGTAAGTTATATGTTAACGGCCTACTTCCAAGCACTTACAAATCGCTTAAACACTCTTTCTTCTCACTAAAACAAAATACCTTTTATTTTCACAGCTTTTTATCGTAAATTCGATGACAGGAGATGCACGGCTGTGAGGTGCTTCATCCTTCACAGTTCTAAAAAATTCGGGAAACGCCAAGGACTTGAAAAAAGCAAATGAATCTATCAGCGCCGTTGAACTGTTTGGCCACCCGGCGATGAAAGAGCCCCCTTTTCTTACTCAATTTCGCAGCGAAGAACACAACTTATAAATAAGAATCTCTTCAAAACAGAAAACGAAGAAAGAAAGTCAACAAATTTTGGAAAATACATCAACTCTTCAACAACCGATTCAGGAAAATCAAAGCAAAAATCAATTAAACCAAAAACTTTTATGATACAGAATAGTCACGTTCCTTATACCTGGCGACAAAACACTTTACCTTACATTAATAAAAATTTAAATGCATTTAGAACCCATCAAGAAAACGTAAGAATCGTTTTGAGGGTTTCATAGTAGCTTTGCCAGCTTTCAAATTAAAAAAAAAACATTAAAAAGCGTCGAAATTCCCGCGTTTAAGTCATAACCTTGGCGCTTTTTGTCAGAAATTTTACACAATTATCACTAAAATCTCTCGCGCATTTGTCACAAGAAACCTAATACTTTTCATTAAATTAAGATGGGAAAGGGCATAACTTCCCTTTAAGAATTTCAGTCTACTTATAACGTAATTGATCGTGATTCGAAACAATTATTGAAGAAAAAAAAGGTCGTGCACACGCGCTTGAAAAATAACCGCACTTGAGAAAAAATTCCTAACTGATGAACTTGAAACTCTTTAGACACGCATTAAATTCGACATTTAAGTACCATAATAAGACATATCAATATGCGAGAGTCTTTGCATATTGAAAGCACAATAACCGACGCTAGAAAGACTTCAAGATACCCCGCAATGCGAGATGACAGTGGCGCGCGAAATATGAGTCGTACACAAATGTGTGTAACATAGTTGCTAAGAGAAAAGTTATCGACGAGGGGCATCTTCATTGATCTGCAAGATTAGGCTTACGTCGAAAAGGTTGCTTCGACAACATAAATGTGTTTTTGACAAGAGAGACACCTAACTTATCACGCAAACGCGTCTTTCATGGCAAGCGGTACGAACATATTGCGGCAAAAGATTTTGAGATTACTTCTCATAAAAATGCTGCCATTTTCAGAGCACATCGCACAGTATTTCCACTCTAGCATATTGAATCCTGCATGTTCTTTTTGAAAAATCAAATTTCCGAACAAGATGACAATGACATAATTTATTTGTTCTTGGCAAGTGTACTTAAAACTGGCGGTTGACAAGTCATCTGAAATATATCTGCAGATATTAACTTACAATCTCATTTTCTTAAATTTTATGAAAATTTTGATATCTTAATCATTTCAAAACATAGACTAATGGTCAATCTTACAAGCTACAAATCTTGGCAACTGAAATAAATTCATGTCATAGTATTAAATAAAACCAATATTGATTTTTTCGCAGGTTCTATGTAGAGTTTTATGCGATTTGTAGACCGCTCTTGACATTTTAATTTGTTACATATCAGAATATTGTTAGTACTTACTGAGATGGAAACACGACCATTTCTCTGTAAGGGCTCTATATAATATATTTTAGGACTCAATTTTCCGTCGATGAGCAATATCAATCTTTCTGTTTTCTAACATATATTATCGTAACAAGATCGCCCTTGATGTAAGGTAATATTAAAGCTTGTTGAATTAAGAGCTGGATTTATCTCAAAGAGGAGATATCATCTTCATTTCCCTACTTGAAAATCTATCGTCGGAGTTCGAAGACTGCTTTTAGCTTTATCTGGGTAGAGGTTAAGTTCATTCCACAGCCTCTCTCAGATTGTAATATGTTCATTTAGCTGAAACCGTTACGGAATATAGTGTGCTCCACAACAACATTAGACAAGTACATTTTACAAAGAGCAATTTTTATTCATAACTTACCAAAAACTCCCAAAGAGACAACAGGAGAAGCTAGTTCATAATGATGGCCATCGATCGACAGCTTAAAGTTGTTTTGGTCAATTTTTCAGAAGTGTTTAATCAATGTGCTAATCACGCATCTAATTCTTAAAAAAAAAAAAAAAAGTATTCATAAACAAAACGTGACTGCTGTTCTTATTTTTTTGCCAAAATATCAGGAGAGGATGAAAAGAGAGAAACTAGCCTCCATACGTACCTTCATTCAAATAATAATCCTTTTAAATCAAACTTTGCCTCATCCTCCATCTCAAATATACATCAATCAGTACATTTTATTAAAAAGCTTCTGAAAAGTAGTCTCTAATTCAAACCCGAGCCCTCAAACACCTTGAGTCGAAAATAAAGAGTGAAAATGTACATGACAAAAGAGCGTTTAAGAAAACTTAGAAATGAGTTCCTCCTCACTTCAATCAGTTTTCCTTTTGATTTATATTTTACTGAGTGGAAGCAAATCAGTCTTAAGATATATTTTGTAAATGCATTTCTGCAAGGTTTGTTTTCGCACCACACATAATTTCCTCCCTATAGGGCCCACGCATTGGATGAGAAACAAAAACAAACGAATCGTTAAACAAAAAAGCATTGCTCCGTCTCTGAATCTACGCCACACTTGCCAAAACACACATAGTCTGTTTCACTCACTTCAACAGATGACAGTCTTCAAATAAATGCAAATATAAATTACGTATCTTTAGGGTTTGTCTTTGAGAACACGTTTTAGGCTTGGAAGGATCTTTTCCGCAAAGGATAAAAAAATGTCAGCTAGCTGGCCAGTGGTAAATTGAGATGGACAGTTCATTTTTCATAAAAATTAAAATTGCTTAATATCACTGTTCTAGCTCCGTTTTCTTGTGTTTCTTGTGCCGCAGGGCTCATCAGATGTCGTATGTCCCTATAAAGGTGCCAATACTGTCAAATCTAGACCATACTTTGCTAAACGTATGAAAATTGCCACAAATTATTTCGCACCTGCACGGAGCAGGTTTAAAATCGCTTGTCGTTTGATGTTTTAAGAACTGCCGAACAATAAAAACACCTGAAGCAACAGAGTCAGCAGTCTTGAATACTCTTTTTCTCGGTACAAATGTTTTGTCTAGATGGAGTTTAGCATCTTGGCAGCTGGATTTTTATTTCGAAATACGGACTGATAAGTTGAAAAGATAGCAAAGAACTTTTAAAAAACAACCTATACGCGGACTAGACTGTGCCACATTAGGCAGCAGAAGTGAAAAAAAAATCAAAAGTTAAGAACTGAATTGTTCTGGCCTTTGAATGATTTTCAACAATGAGTCAGATCTTCACAGCTGTAATCGGTGGAAAGAAGCACTTTCTCTTCGTGAAGGTAAACAGAGGAACACCACCTCAAAATAGTCTTTGTATTAAACACATTACTAGCACAAACATTAACATTTCAAGACATCAATAAAGGTGCAAAAAAGCAAAAGAAGCAATGTTCACTTGTAAATATGATATTCAGATTTTATTTGCGACACTTATTACTATAAATAATGTTTAAAAGGAAAATATCACCTGCAAATAAGGGCAAATACTAGTAGTGCTCGTGTGTGAGCAAGATATGACAATTAGAAACACTTATGAGTAAGCAGCTTACATATTTAGCGTGAAAAAATTTATCTTGGCCCTTTAAACTGCACTTGCGGTATCTTAAGAAAATGTAAGTAAATGTGCACTAGTCTGACCGATTCGAACACTATGAATAAAGAATTAATAGCCGGGTTTTTGCAGCACTTCCTCGTAAGAAAATCATACTAACAATACATGCATGGAATCTCAAGTGGTTAAGAGTTTCACAAAAACTGCAAGAGTCATTCATTACCTTAGAAAGTTTAAGACGTCTTCATTTCAACTAAAAGTGTTGAGAGGTCTACTCTAAACTGAAACGTAAACATTTGTTTAACTGTCCCAAAAATCAAACACATAACTGAGCTGAACTGCAGTATTAGGAGTTCCGGCACTTCGGTAGAGCATACAAACAAAGCACATACTTAGTTAAGGTAACCCTTAGTTTTGATAACGACGTTATTTTTTTTTTCCTTTTGATCATGTGAGAATGTTTTCATCTTGAGAAAACCGTCAGCCGAGGCGGCGTCCTTCGCTGCAATCAAAGTCTCGAAGTAATAAGCGCCAACTTGATTAAAAAAGAGCTGTCGCAACCTTTTGTAGCTTCGCGCTTCGGGGCACATGGAAATGCCCGACAAAATTTAATCAGTGGCCCTGTTTTTCCTTTGTGCCAAACCCTTGGCTTTCAAAGCCTTATCAATGCTATATTTATCTTTCCATCCACGATATATCCACAGATAACGTACCAGCGTTTTTCTCCATTCCTGTCTCATACGAACCATGCAGGTTTTGTATAGTTTTTCCTGATAGAAGCCTAGCGAAGTCCAACCAGAGGGGAGGCTGCCTAATAATAACTATCTTTGTCCGTGCTTCTCAGCGGCTCGCTTTGAAGTTGAGCTGACTCTCTCGCCGACTGGAAGTTTAATAAGCCTTGCAGGGCTTCAAGCCCACATGGGCCTTTGTTTTGTGTGCAGTGCATGTACGCGCAGCTTGTGTTGTTATTACGCGCCCGTTCTAAATGAAAGTTGTTCTTGTGAGCGTTATTGAGCGTTATTGATCAAAGGAAGACGAAATTAGACCTGCTTTAAGACACACCCCGTAATAAAACGAGTGCCGAGTGGCCCAAACGTTAAAGAGGTGTCGAATTGTCAGCTAAATCACTCCGAAAACAGTCAGCAAAAACGCAACTGCCCCTAGGAAGCAAAATGTTATACGGTGACTGAAAATTTTGCTAAGCAAACTTTTTCAGACTCCATTAGTAAAAAAACAACCAATTTGTTACGAGCAATCGTTTCATA